CGATCTCTTAATTGAAGACAATTGCCGTAAGATTAAGGGACAAATCTTGTGTAACATCGGATTAAGAACAATTAAATTGATATATTTTTGAATTTTTACAATTGCCTTAAATTTTGAGGGACATGTTTAATGACCGTTAACTATTTAAGGGATAAATTATGATTCAAGAAATATCGATATGATGAAATCTTTGGATAGGGTGACAAGGAATATATCGGTTACATCACGAAACGGCAGATTATAACGATATTATTTTAAACAGTACATATTATTATATAACAATGATTGTATATTTATTATTTTAAACGTTTTAATATAAATAATTAACTATATGGGTGGAATGTTATTAAAATTGAAGTACGAAACATAGTAAACCATATGATCCGTACCTCAATTTTAATAGCATACCACCCATATTATAAATCAAAATTTAAAAATCTATTTTAATTTTCTTATATTATTGCGTTTTATTATTATTTTTTTACCACAATGATTTTTTATATTATATTCATATTTATTCGCTTAAATTTATTGAAAATTAAAATTAGTTTTATTTAATAAAAAAACACTTGAAAAATTAAAAAAATTTTTTTAAACAAGCAAAAAAAACTAACTTAAGATATTGGTTGATTCATCGTTATATATAAGACTAATATGTTACGACTTCGAAAATGGGTGTCATCGAAAGTTTATGAAATCGACAAACACCTCATTGTCACATGACCAATACGATTTTGATTCGATTCACTTAACCGCATAGAAATTAATCCAGAGTTTCTGCAAAGTAACATTATTGTTCAAATTTAGTTAACAAAGAGATATACTAGTATATCATATTCAGCAATTTCAATATGCTTATAGCTACTTTGAAGTCTTAGAAAAAAATAGTGAAAGACACTCTCCTGTGGCACTTTCGAACCATTTTAATCACGAAGTTGTTTTTTCAGGAATTTCATCATTATGATTTCGTAATTTTTTTTACTTACTATAAAATTACTACTTGCTATATTTTTAACTGAACTGCATATTGCTTCTCTACATACTTCAGCTTTTATCAGACAATTGATTATTGAAGAATATAAATTCTTAGCATTAAAGGCCGCAATAACTTTACCTTTATAAAAAATGCTAATTTTAAAATTTTTTAATTTTTATTTCAAGTAATTATTTTATTTTTTATTTTATAAATAAAAGAAGTTTAATGTAATAAAATTATCTGAATTTGAAGAATATTGTCATAAAATGTACATTATGAAATTTAAATGTTTTTTTTGTTTTAACAATTAAAATCTTTTTTTTTTTTGGTAATTTTTCCGTGTTCAAATGATGATCAAAAAATCGTTGTTGCGCTATGATTAACCGAAACTTAAAATCGAATAGAATCTTGAGAAGCGCTGATAAATATAAACAATAAATTGGAAAATTCGCGCCTTCATGTTTCAAGAGTAACTGCTCGTTGCGGAATGTGCAGTATATTTAGTTTAAAGGATTTTATAAATGTGTAGTCGCATAAATCATAATACCCACAACAGATAATACCAATTCCTTTCATATTTAAAAAATCCGACAAATATATTACTTCATGACTAATCCCGTTTAATAGCATCTTCAATGTTAAGAAGTTTCAAAATTTTGCGCTTCATTTCAGGCCAATCCTCCATATTCCAATCACCCTTTTTAATTGCTTCCTTTATATACCTCCGAGCCATTTCGACATCTACACGGTAATATCTAAAACATAAAAAAATAAATTTTGAAATAAATCATATTGTTTAAGAACAACAAAAAGTACTTACATTACTTCAGGAAACAAAGTTCTATTACGTCTTAGACTAACTGGTAAATAAAAGAGTTCTATTTCTGCTATAATTTCAGCTTTTTGCGCTAAAAACGAAGCTCTATCGTTATCTTTTCCGATTTCCATATTAAGTAGACCAATAAATAAATTCATTAAATATATGACAACTAAAAATGAAAATACAGCCAATAAAATGAATAACGTCTTGTATTCAGACGGACCCCAAGACGATAATGAACCTTGATTTCCTAAAAATGGATATTTATAGGTTGGTGTGATGTGACTTATTAATAAAACATCGATATTTTCTTTTTATTTATGTATTTATAAATAAATTACCTGTTAAGAATAAATACATTGCGAGAAGAGAAGTGGGATATGAATAAAATAAATTGGTATTTTCATCTGGGGTTTGAATAAGTGTTTGATTTAAAATATTTCCATCTTCATCAGTTTGGTAAAAGGTATTAGAAATGGTCCAAGGATTATTTGGATCGCTTGGATCTGGTGTCGTTAATGAATCAAAATAATCACGAGGATGTAAAAGTATAAAAAATGCATGTGCAAAACTTGCTAGAATTATTGCTAACACAACTAAGAAAGAAAATACACGTTTAGCCACTCCGAATATTATTACAAAATAAACACCAAAGTATTCGAATACTCTAAAGAAGAGTAAGAATTTTAAATCTAATAATAAACATGAGACTGAAAGTGCCCAGTATGGTGCTTCACCATATTTAGTCCAACAGGATGTAAGAATGACCGAAATATATGCACTTAAATCTTTTTTTTTAAAAAAAAAAAATAAAAAATAAAACTTTTAGTAAGTATTAACTAACATAATTTACAACCGTCATTATTGAATTAAATTTACCAATCCAATTCCAAATACTGAAAATGTATTTTTTAAGATTCCAAGTAAGTTGTCTAAACTCAGATACAAGGTATGCAATTCCCATGATAATCGAGTAAGTATAAAGATTATCACGAGATTTTGGTCTAATATTTGAGGGGTAAGAAGCAACTGTAAAACATACAAAAAATACCATAAACTTAAGCAAAATTATATTATAACAATTTCTTCCGAACTTTTTCCATTTGAAATCAATTACTGCTTCTCCATTCCAATTGGTATAGAAATCTTTTTGACAAGTATTAACAAAAACACTTGATTGAGGTTTATACATTTCCTTAATAAAATTACTGTATTCTAAAGGGTAGCAAGAATAATTTAAATAAGGTACTATAAGAGTAATATATTGCTTAACTTTAACATTTCCCACAAATTTTTTATAACAAAACATATAAAATTTTACGAATAATTTCGTTAATTTCGGTATGTAACATATAATCAAATATACCACGAGCATCGATGCCAATGGTATTATATTAATTAAAATTTGAACTATTGACAAACTTATTTCCTCAACTTTTGATATTGCTAACCAAATTATTATGAATATTTCCAAAAAATATAATATATAAAATATATAATATTCATTAAACTTTGCACGAAATGATTGATCAATTGGAAATTCTTCATTAAATGTATATAAATCATCATCAAAATGGTTACCGGAAATAATATGTTCATCAGAGGGGTTTAAGATCATGTACATTTCAGAATTAAATTTTGATATGTAATCTGGATAGGTTTTATATAAATCATTCATAGATAATGTTATAATATTGAGAAATTTCAGATTTTTTTTTGGATCTTCTTTAACAAGGTTTGTGCATTTACTATAAATCTTCTCTATATAATTACTTGACTTTTCATTGATAAATTTTGGTAATAAAGCTTCTCCATATATTGCAAGACATCTATCGTCCTCGATGATATTTTCTAACCATTCACGAAGAAAATGCTCATTATGTTTAAAAAATGCTTCAAAATTCATAATTGGTAATCTAGTTCCAGATAACTTTTCAATGGTAAAGTTTTCATCAAAGTAAAAATAATGCATTTTAATATCTTTATTAATGATATTATATTTGTATATTATGATGCATCGATGTTCAAGCCTACAATCTTTACGCATAGTTTGTGCTAATGCATTGTTATTTAGAATTCTCCAATGAATACCAACTAGTTCAAATTCTTTAAATTCTTTTAATTTTGTCGAACATAATTCTCCGTTTGTATCTGAGGAAAGTTTAAAGATTGAGAGTTTCTTATTTTTCTGATCTATTCTCCATTTATATTTTTGATTATTGAAATTTATATCTATAGGTTCATCATCTTCTGTTTTATCTTGATTTGAAACCAAAGCTCTAATATTTTCCATATCGGGATAAACCATTGTATCATTGCATTGAGTTTCAGATGTTTGGTGTAAGTAGGTATTCCAACCAACAATAATTTCATCATCCCCATGATTGGTCGCAAATAGTTCATGCCAAATAAATCTGGTTAACTTAATACTTGAGACACTTTCTTCGACGAATCCAAATGCTCGCTGCGATTCTGAATTATACTCAAAAAGGATGAAATCATTCTCATCATTAAATATCCTTGATCTATCTACAGGTTGTTTATTGATGTCAGTTGTGTGATGTAAGCTTAAATCTTGTTTCTCGTCTTCCTTAGTCAAATTAAAAGTTATAAAATAGTTATTGCTTAATATTCTAATCGAAACGTTACTTTCTACTTGAATATTTCGAATTGGAAAATGAATTTCTTTTAAATAAATAGAAATTTTTTCATTATTTTTTTCATTATATTTTAACAAAATTAAATTTTCTCTCATTATAATTTTTTCAACGTCTTTTTCATCAAATTCAAGCGAATAACTAAATTCAAATTTAAAATTATCTAAATCACATTGAAATAAATTATTTGAAGCTATGAGACATACTTTATTATTCTCAAACATTACTTTGCATACATTGTCTGAATCGATCATACGAGATAATTTTTTCTTTTTCTTTAATCCACCGCCAACGTGAGAATAAACTGATATACGATTATTGTGTTTCTTTGATATAACAAGATCGCCATCGTTTTTGAAGTAAAATGAAAGAAAACTTTTATTCAATGAACTAGGTTTAATTGACAGTTCCTTTGACATTCGAAAGGTTCGAATGTTTTCGTCCCATGCATACAAAACAAATCTATCATCATTAACTTTAATTTCATTTATTTCATTTGCTTTCTCATCATCTGGTAATTTATAAACAGTAACTTCAGGGTCACGTATAAGTGGGGAACATTTAGAATCGTTTTCGTCGACAATCCATCCTTCAATTGAATGATCTTTGTTGCTATACGTGATTACATATTTACCATTAGGAGATACAGATATTAATGTTATATGTTCACCATTGTGCGCGATATCATAATCTATTTTAATGGATATGTCTTCGACTTCGCTCATGAAGATATACTTGGATAATTGAACAGTTTATTTACAAATATTAAAATGGTTTGATTCGTGAGAACTTCAAAAAGGAAGACGGACGAAAAACATCTATATAAATAGGAGCAATTTATTTTGAGGCTTTTGTGGTCGCAAGTTCGGGTAATTCTTGAATTGATACAGTTACGAAATAAATTACCGAATATAGTACCACTAGATAAGGAAGAATATAGGGAAAACCGGTACGGCTGATCAGTACAGTATGATCCTCCAAATTATGATCGTACCGTTCTATATAATATTATTGAGATCAGTACGGTAGGATCATATTTGGATAAAGTATCGTACCGATCCTATAAAAGAAATAAAAAGCATTTTACCAGTACGGTACGGTACTTTCTGTAATTGTACCGTACCGGTTTTTTATATATACTGTACCTTGATATTAATAACGATTTCGCATTCAATACTAGATCGTCAACAGCGTACTTGATAAAAAAAAAAAATAATAATTCTTTAATAAAATGATCGTGCAGCGAAACTCAGTACGATTCTACTGATCAGTTTGGTAGTTTTCCAAAATATCAATAATATAATATTATAGAATCAGATCCGATCATAATTTGAAATATACAATCGATCTGCAAAATCGTACCGTATTCCTATACTCAAAAATTAGGAAGGCTTAATATTGATTTGCTAAAAAATTGCTTAACTTGAAGATTAGTGTGGCTAAGTAATTAATACACAGCCACCTAATCATTTTTTTGCGATCTTGAAAGTCCTAAAAAATAAGATATTTTGAGAAAGTCTCAGTTTTCAAATGGAGCGATCATGTATCGGCGAATGTTTTTTTTATTTCTCCCGCGAAAATAAAAAATGAAAACAATTGAGTGCAAAGGCAAGGATTATTTATTGTTTTAAATTATATTTCGCTGCCGTTAATAAACTCAATTGACAATTCTAACCTGGTACAATTCTTTGTTTATAAATCTAACGGTAGGGTTCAGAATCGAAAGTCGGAAAATCGGCAAAGTCGATTGTAATAACGATTTTAACTAGCTCGGTCAAAAGTCGGTTACACAAAATCTTTTCTACTAATAAACAATATGGTATGGGCAATAACGCACCAATTATTAGAAATCTTCATGAGTTAACTCAGAATTCTGAAATTCGTTTGTGTATCGAGAAATTTAATATTGAGTGAACAATCTTTAATCAGTGTTGGCAAATGACCTCACTTTAGTTATAAATTTCAAGTCAAAATGACCATGGTCATTTGAAAAAATAGTAAATGACCTTGTAATTTGACATCACTGTTGTAAATAGTGTATAATTGTAACATTTAAAAAAAGGTTTTAAAATCGAAAAATAAAAACGAGCATGTCACGTGATAAGCACATTTTGTGAGACAGAAACTTAAAAAATTAAAAAAAATTTAACACCGTTTTTGCCGATGTTTTTATTTTCAAAAATCGATTTTCGCCGTTTCGATTTTCGATTTTGATTTTTGAAACTTTTCCTATACAATTACTACGCCACTCGTAGTAATGAAATTTCTCCTGTTCCATCGGAGTTCTCAATGGTACGCAACATAATTAATGTTTTACATATTTCTTATGCTGAACTGTATTGTTCAAAATTTTTCTTTTCTTGCTTCTTTTTTTAAATTACTTAAAATGATTAATATAATCATTGCATTATTTATTTTCCTTTTGTTGTTATTCATCCATTAAACTGTCAATTAATTAAAGAAAGATACGATGCCACAAGTGTAATCAAGGATGACGTTTTATATGTTCTTGGAGGAAATCATAATGGAAAATCCATACCGGAAATATTATCCATCGATCTTACCACTTCATTTACTATTGATTCGCCGCCATGGTCACAGTCACTGAAAGCTCCACCTTTGGCATTTGCATCAAGCGGAGTAGTATTTGGCGGTTTTAATAATTACTTTATATTAGTTGTTGGTGGTAATATGCAAGACCCATTTAGTCACACTCGTATAATTAGTGAATAAACTCTAATAGAACACGATATTCAACATAATGATTGGAGAAGAATAGCAATGGCAAGTGCGCCAGAGTTAAATCAAAGAGGTCATTTTAAAATTTTAAGTTATAATAATGGAAAAACCTATCTTCATGGTGGGTTTTTTAATAATACGTTTTTAGGTGATACATATTTATTTGACACCTTTTTATTCAACTGGACTAAGTTACCAGCACCGCAAACACCAATAATTGCGGATGACTATTCCTCTGTACTATTGAAAGATGGACGAATGATAATCATTGGAGGATTTGGAGCTCCGGTGGACAAGGTTTTTGTACACACTATTAGCCAGGTAAAGTACAAGAAAGAATTCATATGATAATGACGAATATTAATTATTAAAAATATACAGATCGAAATATTTGATACAATTGATAATATTTGGGATAAAAAAATTGTACCGCAACAAAACGAAATGACCGATCACCGTAGATATCATACATCTACACTTAAGTAATTGTATTACCTTTTTTCATTCTTGATATCTTCACTAAACTACGTATTTTACTATCTAGTTCCAAATGGAGATATTGTAATAATCGGAGGTCTTGATGAAGCCCTAGTGTTGTAATATTAGAAACATCAACAAGACCATTCCAATGGAAAATTCCAGTCATTTCGGGATTAAAAACTCCACTGCTTTATCTACATTGTGCTGAACTTGTAGAAAATAGATATATATTCATCATGTTTGGTATGTTACTCGTATTTTTTTTTAAAAAAAAAATGTAATACGATTAATTTTAACTTAACTTTTTCAGGAATAACAACCAGTGAAATTGTTAGCAATGAGCTATACATACTAGATACAGAAAATTATTCATGGATTAAAAGTTTCAAACCGAAATTGTCTGCATCACCACCATCACTATCACCACAATCATCGAACATTTCTCCATCATCGACCACAATAATAATCGTTTTATCTGTAGTTATATCTGTTTTATCCATTACTTTACTAGGAACATTTCTAATTTTTTTTAAAAAGCTTAAAAACCGATCATGTATGTACTATTTCTGCAAAAGTCGAGTCGAACTAACGATGCTAATGGAGAAAATTCAAATGTAATGATGTACCCAAATTAAAGGTAAATCAAATGATAATAATTTAAGGTATTCATGTAAACTATTATAAATTTGTATTTATTCGTAAATTAGAATCATCCTTCTGCGAATTTATATTGTGATCAAGCGCATATATGTTTTGTGTAATATTAATATCTTGTAGAAGTTTCATTACTCATACCATATGTATATTTCAATCCATTCAATCACATTTTTATAGTAAAGTAACTTGTCTTTATTATGATTTTGATAATAAATCTTGCAACATCTTTGATAAATATACATGTATCTCGATATTGAAGTTATATAAATTTTCTTTTTAGAGGATAGCTTTCTTTTCAATTGCTTTGGTCAATAAAATTTAGAAGTTACAATGAATTATTAGTAAAGATCAAAATGTCGTTCTATTTATTTACTTGTAAGTAATATTTGGCTCTTGATGGAATAATTCATTAGTAGCAAAATCAAAACTTCAAAGATATCTTTCTCTCTCGTCCAATGAATGAACGTTGCTTTTATAGCTGTATTATATTATAATTCATTTTTTTAAAATTTTCTATTAACGATAACAAAATCACAAAAAATCAACGTGTAGTTTTAGTGAGAAAAATATTTCGTAAAAAAAAAAAAAAAAAAAAAAAAAAATTTTTTTTTTTTTTTTTGATAAAATTTCATTTGATAGAAAAATGCCGAATGTAAAAATTGATTTTATTCCGGAAGTTTTTTCTTTTTATTGCAAAGATCATATATATATATATCCAATTTTCAATTACTCAAGGATTTTATAATTGTAGCAAAATGTAAAAATTTACAAAAATCTATTACACTTGATCTTGAGAAAAAGATACATGATAGGAAGTAAGTAACAAACTCTATAATTACGGAACGGAAAAAAAGTCTTTCTTCGTTACTTATTTAATGTAAGTCAAGTATAGAAAAGTTTTTTAATTACTTTACCTTCGTTAAATTAGAAGTTTTTAAATAATATTTGCAAACTTTTTTATTTAAAATTTATTCTCGTTGCATTTTTATATTGTGACTTCTTAATATATATATAGTATATAATATTAATCTAATATTAACTTTGAATCCAAAGTTTTGAAAATTTTAACGTACCTACTATACCTTATTGAAAAGGATTCATACAGATGAATTTTATAATGCTATGCTATAAAACTTTACTAAAGACACAAATTGGTGTTTTCATTTTTTAAGGTATTACACTGCGGAATTATAAATTAAAAAATTTAAAAAAAATAACTTACATCTTTAATTCATGATTGAATGATTTACTGCATTAAAAATGCATCCTTATGTGTGTGTATAATACGAAGCGAAGAAAATAAATTTGAACCGCAGTCATCGACCAATTGACATGAAATAAATTTTTTAAAGCCAATTATAGTACCTGGACTGAGTCAGGAATTTATAACTCGAAAATGGTTAAAGATTTTCTTTTCTTTAACGTGTGAAAATAATTTTAACTCGGGCCGAAATTCAATTTCGGCTAAATGTCAACAAAAAATTCTGTTAGCTCTGGCTAATTTTATAGTGCCGGCCCGAGTTAAATTTAACTCTACCGTTAACAAATATTTTAACCCGGGATTGTTAGGCCTCTAATGATGATTGACATAATTTTGATGTCAACTTAAAATTACAGAACCGCTTCAACACAATCTTTTTTTTTCAAACATTGTGCTCATTTCTATCAAATGACTAATTGTTACTTTTATAATTCCCTGATGATACTCTGATATGTCATAAACTTTTTATTCAAATGATTAAACTTTCGTCATTTATGATCATTCGAGGTCATTATCGTTATTTGTTAACATTGATTTACCCTAATATGAGCCTACTATCAAGTAATTTTCTCGTACTAATTAACGCAGTAAAAGTCATCTTTCTTTTTTTCGGAAATAAAAAATTGAAACTAATCAATTTTCTCGTTATTACATAGAAAAGGTGGGAATATAATATGACGATTTGAAAAGTATATAAATGCATCCATCAAAATTACATGAATTTACCATGAGTTATCATTTATCCTTTGATAATGGAACGCAAAGGAAAAAATAAAATTAATGATGAGGATAGTGATGTATTCTACGACGCTCCATCTTATGTGGAAAATTCAGAAATCAATGAGCAATCACGAAGAAAGCGTCAGCAAAACACGAAAGTAACAAAAAATCATGATTCTACGCCACAAAATGATGAATCATCAAGCATATTTTCTTTTTCTTCTTTCAAGAAGGGAGTTAAGAAGGGCCTTAAGTTTGTAAGCAATTTTATTGCACCTGAGGAACATCCAGAAGATAATGGTTACACAAAAATCATATTCCGTGTGCATTTCCCTAAAATTAATTCCGGTGATCCTGTTATAGTTGGTAATATAGAGGAACTTGGTAATTGGCAAGAACCTAAAGTTAAACTTAAGCAATCTAGTAAAAGTGCTCGGACATCTTATTGGTATTCAGATCCTATTTATATTCCGATCCAAAGTTTTCAGAATGATGAAATTAGATATAAGTATGCTGTGCGTTCACACAACGACCAAAACTTAGAATTTGAAGGATCTGGTCCAGATGATGATCGGTCGTTAGATATTCAACGTCAATTATTCGATATTTGGAAAAGTAATTCAGCTTATAGTATGCATAGAATCACTGATTATATGTTCTTAGATGTCATTTATGAATCTGAAAACATCAAGGGGATGATTTTAGATTATGATAGCATCCTAAAACAGCATCATGACTTAACTTTATCCGTAACGAATCTTAAATTTATTGACAACCATGTATCGGATAAATCTTTCATTAGACGTCTTTTTTTATGTTTCCTTTTAGGACATTGTCCTAACGCTAATACTAGTACTTATGAAAGATTTGAATTACCAAGAGATTTTCGAACTGCTCCTTTGTTTGAAGCTTTCTTCACTGTTGATTCAAACACATTTCCAACTAATAGTTTGAAAGTTGTATTAAAAGGAATCAATCTTTTAATTCATCACAATATTCACAACGGATTATTCGAATGGCTTGAAATCTTTACCATTGCACATAATTTCGATCCTCAATATGACTTCATCGACACTATAACTTTTGATAAATGCAATGATGAAAAATATATCGAAGAATGTTTTGAACAAATACTTAACTTTGATTACGATGAATGCGAATCTATTAAAATTATCAAGGTATTTTTTTCTAATATTCACGTCTTATGTTGATTGAATTAATCAAATCAATTAATCAATTAATTCCCTTTTTCAATACAATATGTAGTGGTTGATGAGTCAATGTAAAAATGTGAAAAACTTTTCAATCGTTTGGAAATATTCAAACAAAAGTGATAAACAGCTTCGACAAAATTTGGTGGATAATATTTATAACATTATATCTAGAGATGAACCTGCTAATTTACATAAAAATTTTATCCAGCTTCCTGATGACATTAGAGAAATAGTATCCGACCTATTTCGGCAAAAAATACTTGATGTATTAATCAGTAGTCGTAGTGCCATTTGGGATGAGCCAAAATCCAAATCGATTTATAATCTTTTAAATTCTGCTCGACTAAATTGGACAAAAGATGAATACATCGTTGTTTTGGAAACGGTGTCAACACTAAAAGATGATCAGCTATTAGGTCTATTTCCATCATTGCTTAAAAATTGGATTAAAATGTCTAATGAAATTGATTATAAAGTAACAACAATGTGCGTTCTCTGGTATAAAAAGCTCATGGATAGAATGTCAACGGCTCATAAGGGAGAATACATAACCGCAGTTTTGGAGAAATTATCAAACATCTGTTCATTAATAAATGATCAATCCAAATTAAATGAATTAATGGAAATAACGATCAATCGTATTAAACAGTCTACGGAACAATTAATTCTTAAAACTGTACCTAATGTTGAAAATTTTGGTTCAGAAGCAGTGCATGTATTTACAAAAGTTATTGAAGAAAAAATAAATTCAATGGATTTAGATCGCGTTATACCTTTATTAAATAAAATGCAAGTTATTTGTGGTTCTACTGACAAAAATTTGAAAATTCCAAATGAGTAAGTTATTTTGTTCTTTCATTATTTATATTAACTAACTAATTAGATTTAATCAATTTACTTATTTATTTATATTTGTTTAGATTTAGTGAAAAAATTCTATGTTACATCATGTCATGTTTGCAAAAGAAGAATTTAAAAAAGTTTTCAAAAATATCTTCGCGTGATTACGCCGAATTCTGGATTGTAATTCTACGTGCAACAGGCAGTACCAGAAAGTTTCATTCTCATCAATTTGTGCAAGAAACTAGAGCTACCATTCTCGAGTTGGTTGATAAGATTAAAAATAGATCTATTAATATACAACATCTTCAGCATTTGCTTCACCTTGAAGATGATTTTCTTCAAGTTTATCTAAATTCTGCAAATTTTAAAAATGAAGAAACCATCACCAAGGATGTCTTGATTACGGTTCGTCAAAATTGTAACTTCTATGAACAAAGGTTGAAAAAACTTGACGATTTCTATAAAAGATTTTGTCCGCTACAAAAAACCAAGGATGTGCAAATATATCTCGATGAATTAAGTGAACGAAGCAAGAATCTGGATCAAATCTCCCTAAATGAATCCTTATCAGAAGCTCATTGGAACTTCCATAAAGGAAGTATATCAATATCAGAGAGTACATATGAATTGAACAAATCTCAAACATTTTATAATGTTTTTGAAAAACGCTTAAATGAAGGATTTGAAGATGAATCTGATGATGACAATGACAATATGAATGTTGAATATATAACACAAACGTTAATGAATGTTGTTTTTAGGGAATATGCTACTAGGTGCAAGCAATATAATAATTGGGAAAATCTCAAATGTTCAGAAGAAATTCCATTTTGGAGAGATGTTTCTAATTTAGATGAAGAGATTAAGTTAATGGAAAAATATAGTAATATTCGTATTAATAAAAACAAATCATTCATGGTGATTATAGGACATCTATCAAGAAATAAGAATTGGAAAGAACGTACGGAAAATTTATCCAAGATTGTTAATATTTTTGCAGCCAAAGGAAACTGGCTTGAAAACTTGTTTAAACACGGAAATTTGGGTACATTTAGTAAAACTGTTGAAACTATAAATCAAAAATTTTCAAAATTCAATGATAATAGTTGGGATTTTATCAAAGAATTATCACGATCTGAAGAATTAATTGATTTCTTAAGAGATAAAACAGTTGATAATCTGAAATATTTGATTAATGGTGTCGATGAACACTCTGATACTAGATTGATTCAAGAAGGCACAATTACTTCACTTATTCAAGTCAAGCAATTCTTGCATTCATTTATGAATAACGAAAATTTAACAATGGATACAATTTTAGGAAAATTCAATGATATTCACCCTTCATTAGCAAGTAAATTATCATTAATTAATAGTAATATCATGGCTTTAAAAAATATGTATGATTCCGTCTATAACAAAGGTGACGTCACAAAAGAAAAGATTCAAAAAGCTGCAAGTCATGGTACGTACGAATTTAATAAAGAAGAAAATGAAGAAGATTGCATACTTGAACTGTCATATCTCTCTAAATCGGAAGAAACCATAAATTTCAAAATTAATGAGTTACAGGATTTACGCAGCAGAGCCCTTTTAATTTCAAAGCCTGGTGTTTCTATTGATGATATCGATGACGTTAGACTCAAAATGGAAGCATTTGTAACACAATTTGACATCGCTCAAAATATAATTGCAACAATGAAAAAATTAACTCAATTAGGTCATTTTGGGTATAGAAAGTATAAGGAATCAGCTAAAGGTACAAATAATTTGGAGAAAATAGCAATCCGATTGAGAAATGAATTGGAAATCTGGTAAATCATTTTATTATATTCTTTTATTGAATTTTATTGCATTTTAAATTTTGCAATTATTAAACAAATTATATTACTTTGTAGGGAAAACATTGTTAATCGAGCACAAGAAAATTGTTATTATCTTACTTTCTATCCAGCAAGACATATATTAGCATTTCATGACTACTACACAGAGAAGAGCGAGCATTGTGATGAAATAAAAGGAACTTGTCAAATACTTGTATCATTTGTCAATCGAAATGCCAAATTACCTCAACTGAAAGATCAAGGATTTCATTATGAAAAGGATAAATACGATCGAGCTTTGGAAGCAATTAATCATAGATTAGGATGTATTTTTGGAACCCTTCAAAAACATTCGCGACCGGTGAATAATTCTGAAGGACGCGTAATTTCAGATACGGTGAAATGTGGAGAATTATTTGTCGCAGCTTGTGATGATAATTCGAAAGTTCCAAACATCATTATGTCTCTAAATGTCAACCATGGATATTATCCTGAACCTTGGCAACTTTTGATATGTATGTCCTCTACTACTGAAGAAGAACTTTCAATCTTTATCAAACGATGCTTTTTTGCTTCTAAAAACGGCTATGAAGGTCATTTATTCTGCATTGCGAATTTGGAATTATTAGAGTTTGAATTACAATACAATCTGGTTAATCAGCTCAGAATGTTTATGGAAATGATAGATGATTATTATTTAGCGTTGATTTGTTGTTTTAAAACTGGCATGCATCATCATATTGTGGATCAGTTTTCTAAATATGTTCACGGGACTGGTGGACTTAGCAATGTTGCAATGAAAGCCATTTATCGTGAATTATGTCCAAAGGTTACGTGTATAACTTCAACACTATCCGGACAAGGGAAAACGAAATATATTGACCAGGAGAGTTCTAAAAATGGCAAAAATTTGGTTCCTTTTCTCATTAGTGATGAAGCAAATTATAATTCACTTATTAGACAACTTAAAAATTCACATATTCAACAAGAAAATGAAAGTCTTCATATAAACATAATATCTGCTGATAATCCCGGACAAGTTAATATGTTCTTGTTTCAATTATTAACTCTGGGAATTATTTCAAACAACGCGGATATTACGAACCTTCCAGATACCTATATTTTTATAGAAGTAGCTAGTAACCACTTGCTCGAATCCCTTCCATTTCTTAATTGTTTGAGTAATTTGCATTTGGAATGGAATATTAATGGATTGACAGTTCCCAAAGACATATATAGTCCAATTCAAGTAGTTTGTCGTTATTTGGATCTTTATGATAAGAATAATCTAGATAAAGATGATGTTATATACCAATCAGATGATAATATTGTTCAAGTATCGCCTCTTGATCAAGTACCTTGTCAACTGCTTTTAGACAAATATTTCTTTAAAAATGTTGATCCTAGTATCTTATCTTATCGGTTTTTAGAAATTTTTGTTAATGTACTTGCAGACCAATTGTTAAGGTTATCGGGAAGTTCTTTTTTCAGGGTCGACAATTTAAAATTTATGACTGATGATATTAAAATTCGATCAACATTATTTAATACCTTACTTGACGTTTCAAAAGATTTTGCTACAAAATCAACCAAAACAAAATCTGCACAACTACAATCAATCGCTGAAGTAAATAAATTAGCTAACATTGTTCAATGGAATGATTCGAATCATCTTTTGGTATTCTTTATGTCTCAATCTCCAGAATCGATTAGTGCTTTATATCGTAACAAACAGATAGTTCCACATAATGTTTTAAATCTGCTAAAAAGCCAATGCTGGAAATTATTAGATTATCAAACCATGCCCTCGGATCGATTATTATCCATTTTAGAATGTTTGGCTCGGAACTCTATGCATCATATCAATTATCAACCATATGCTTTATCGGCTGATAATTTATTGAAAATGGCATTGATGTTATTGAGAACAAGAGCCAATATTCCTGTAGTTATTTGTGGAGAAGCGGGATGCGGAAAGGTAATGTGTATATTGTTTTATTAATTAATATTTTATTATTTCTTATCGAATAATTTTTCAAAATTTTATATATTCATTTGTAGACAAGTTTAATTAGTTTCTTAGCCAAAGTTGTGGAAGTAGAATTTGACGCACTTAATCTTCATGCTGGTGTTACAGAAAAAGCTATAAAGGATTTCATGAATGAATCCGGTAACAAAGCCGAAACTAATGAGATGTGGTTGTTTTTTGATGAAATAAACACCTGCAATCATATAGGATTATTGGCAGAACTTATAGCTCATCGAAGACTTAATGGTAGGCCGATACATCCAAATATTCGGCTATTTGCCGCCTGCAATCCATATCGTATCCGGAATAAGAATATTAGTACTGTTGGATTGAAACCAAAAAAGATTACTTTTGAAAATCAAAGCAGCAACCTAGTTTATGCAGTTAAACCTCTTCCAGATCAAATTTTAGATTACGTATGGGATTATGGTACGCTACAACCGAAAGATGAAAAGATTTACATTCAAATAATGGTACAAGAGGCGAAATTAAATCCTATATTTGCGGAATTATTATTTGCATCACAGGAATTTATTCGTAATGTCGAAGAACCTTACAGTGTTAGCTTGCGTGATGTTAAAAGAGCTATTAAATTGGTCGACTTTTTCAATAAAAGTCTTCTAATACGGCGGCAAGTAAAGTATAAAAAAAATAACTATCCCGATAATTCACTGGATATTTCTACTCGATCATATGTTTTGGCATTGGGTTTATGTTATCAGTCTCGCTTATATGAACGGAAATTAAGGAAGAAATACCGTGTAAGGATGTGTTACATATTTAAAAATATTAGTAAAAAATGTTTTAGCAAGATAATGAAAGAAGAGCAAACGGATTATATGGAAAGAATGATTCTTCCACCTAATACTGCATTTAACCAAGCGTTATTAGAGAATGTATTAGCAGCAATTGTTTGTATAATGTGTAAATTACCATTATTTATTGTTGGTGCACCAGGCTCTTCAAAATCACTAGCAATAAGACTCGTAAGCCAGAATCTCAGAGGACGAGATTCAAATGACGACTTTTTTAAAACTCTGCCTCACGCATTTTTTATTCCTCATCAAGGCTCATCATCGTCTACTTCTGATGGAATAGAAAAAGTTTTCAAAAAGGCCGAGGCTTATCAGAAGACAAGTTCTAAAGAATTTCCGGTTATTAGTGTTGTTTTACTTGATGAAGGTTAGTAAATATCGCATACTTAAGCGTTATTAATTTTTTGAAAAGATCATAATTTTCGTTTTACAATTTTTTAGTTGGATTGGCTGAAATTAGTCCCTATAATCCATTGAAAGTTCTTCATGCTTTGTTAGAACCAAGTTATCCAGCTGATAGTCCTACAGTTTCAGTAGTAGGAATTTCAAACTGGAGACTGGATAACAGTAAAAATAGTAGAGCATTGTTAGTTCAAAGACCAAATTTTGATTTGAAGGACCTTATTGCAATTGCTTCTTGTTTGTTTGATCATGCTGCAATTAACCATAATGATGCTTCTTTTATGCCTCTTGCGGATGCATATTCTGAATATGTAGCAAATGGTCAACAAGCATTTCCAAATTTTCATGGACTTCGAGATTATTATGCTCTAGTTAAAAGCCTTTTGAATAAGAGTTTTACTCCTGATAATGTTTATTTGGCGATATTAAGAAATTTTGGAGGTATTAAAAAACAAACCGAAAATTGTTTAGAATATTTCAAACCTGTCATTAAAGTGCTCAATAATAACAAAAGTTGGACATATGAACCTGTACCTATCACTTATTTAATTAATGAGAATCTTGAAAGTAAAGATTCTAGACATTTAATGGTTATAGGAAAAAGTGATTCCATTGTAAATATATTATCATACCAATTACATGATAAGTACCCAGTTATAATATTAGGTTCACAATTTCCAGAAGATCGTGATGATTATTCATATAATACACTTAGTAAAATAATGGTAAGCTATTACGATTGTTATTTTCATATTACTTTTATCTACTGCTTACGCTAAATATTTAGATATGTGTTGAAACCGGACAACCTTTGATTTTAACTGACTTGGAGAGCATTTATGGTATATTTCGTTAAATAATTTTCTATTAGAACTATTAAATTTGTTTTGTTCAATCGATTTTAATTATTATATAGGGAGTCTTTACGATTTGTGGAATCAAAATTATATTACATCGGGTAGCTCCGATAACCCAAAATACTTCACTCGAGTTGCCTTAGGGGCTTATGCAAATCCTATGTTGTAAGTTATTTATGAAAAAATGGGGAGAATTAATCATATATATAATTATTTTTAACGATTATATTTTTTAGGCATATTCATCCTGATTTCAAATGCATCCTAATTCTTGATGAAAAGAAGCTAGAAAATGCAGATTCACCACTTTTGAATAGATTTGAAAAGCAAAGTATGACAATGAACGATATTCTTGAAAAAGATGACCAGGAATTAGTAATTCAACTACGAGAATGGACATGGCAGATGTCAAATATGGCAGGGACAGCAGGAACAAATTTTACTATAGAGGATTTGTTTATCGGATTTAATGAGGAAGAAACATTACAAAGCTTAGTAATAGACATTAAGAAAAAAGTACCTGATGTGGAGATCCTTGAGAAATGCAAGGAAAATTTAGTTGCAATTGCTACACCAGATGGAATGGTTCGAATCGAAGGATCTGCTTTGGATCCTGAAGAAATTCAACGTTGGAAAAATGTTTATTTCCTGAATCAACATCATAATGATTTAGAAGATTATTTCCAAGATTTATTTCAAGGACAAAAACTAGATGGTCACCTGGTCATTATTAACACATTTTCCAACATCAATACGGATGTTAAATCCTGTTTAGAACGAATCACTAAAAGTTATGTATTGAAACTTTCAACATTCAAAACAGAATCTCAATTTCAAAAGCAAGTTAACAAATTTTGGTTTGAGTCAGATCATGAATTGTTAGTATTACAATGTGATATCTCTATTATTAATGCAAATTGTGTTAAATTAGCCAAGTTTATTATTGAGCAATGCCGGAGCAAGTATTTACACAAACGAGTAGAGAATAATGCTAGGAAAATTAAGCATGCTTGCATTATTCTTCATACTCATCGAGAAAAACAACAGCGTGAGAATGAAGAAAATTCGAATATAACTTCTTTCAACTTTATGAGTGGATGGAATCAGATTACAATCGAATCATTAACAAAACAACCAAGACCAATATCTAATTTTATGATGCACGATTTGTATGATATAATCGAGACTATTTATCCTTTTGAAGATATAGTAAAGCAAGAATTATTATGGTGTCTACTTTGCGTGAAATATCCAGACAATGTCAATTCTATCAATCATGTCAAGTGAGTATTATTTATTATGAAACTCTTGTATATTACAGTACAGTAAAATTTGTCTCTAATACTACTTATCTTCCAGATATCTAAGCAAAAGTATTTTAAATCATCCAAATTTCGTAAATTGTTTAAAAATAAGAGCGCTAGAATGGTTTAAGACGAATATTGAACCAGATTGGAAATATCGTATCGCGTCTAACAAACAATTATTCTATCCACATTCTTCGTTTTCTGTGGCATTGCAAACATATATCCGTACAATAGTTCGTAATATTGTTGCTAAAATGTTATATTCTCTGGAATGCTTGGGAGCTACAAAATCATTCCTTATTCATGACTTGCCAAAATTACAAATGTCACAACAAAATGAACATCTACTTAAATTTTGGAAAGAGATGTTTATGGATAATAACGTTATCAATTTCGACTCCTTGCCAGAACCAATGCCAGATAGTTACCCAATGTCTGTCAATGTATTTGATTTACAATTTCCATTTTCACTTTACTTCATGAAAAAGATCGATAACTTTAGAACTCTTTATGAAGAGGAAATTTCAATAATTAGAGGAGATACAAAGAATTTTAATCACAAAATCTTAGAATATAATCAAAAGTTTTCCCAAAAGGTTTTTAGATCCGTAATTCTCTTGAATTCTTCTCCATTGTTCGATGCCTCAGACTTATATTTCAAGGATTTTGTTAATATGAAATATAGCAATGAAACGGGAGCTAAAAATATTTCCGTATTATCATACATTTTTAAATGTAAACTAGGCAGAGAGAATTTCACAAATCCAATCCTTTTACATATATTTTGGTGGAATAATGCTAGTTTTACTTTGGCTGCTTTTCAACTAATTCACGAGTGTCCTTCGATAATTAATGAAATCATTATGAATGCCGATGAACTGACGTATACGAAGTATTTAGAGCAATATATTGTGAATGAAGTTTCTAGTTTAATGCTTAAAAAGCTTAGGAATGGCCAAGAAATTATTGAATTGCAATTCGAGATCAGAAATGTATTGAATCAGTGTGAAAAACTTTCCAACTTTGAAACGACAGAATCTTTTCAATTGTTGCAATTTTGTAATGAACTATTGTCAAATGAATCGATTCCATTGGAAATTATTAAAGAGATTATCGAGGCTAAACGCGGTGATATAATATTTTCAACAAAATATATTCGTAGCGTCTTTAAAATACTTAACAATATTAAAGATATAGAACCAAATGAAATTCTATTATTTGAGCAATCTTTTGTTATGAAGTGTTTAGAAGTTATTCCATTCGATTCACCTTTAAAGTCGAAGTTTTATCACAATTTATTCTTAGAAGATACCTTTCCACTAATGGGACAAATGATTAGAAGTATACTTGAGAAAGAACACAAACATTTGCCTTTAGAATTCTTCACGTGGTTATATAAACCTAGTGAAATGCTAAATTTGTCATTATTTGAAATTATGAATAATTGCTTAGAGATTAAAGGCTGTCACTCTTCAATTGCAGCACTATTCTGTGACGTTATACAGAAAACATACTTTGCAAAGTATGATTTCATTGAATTGTCGCCCTACTTCCGTTGTGCAATCGAAGCTTTATATGGCCGTAATATTGCAGGATTACGTAAGGTAACAGCGATTGCGTTCCTCAAAGAATTTGTTCATAAGTTTTGGAATTCTATGATACAAGATAACATATTAAGACCGATTGAATTGGATTTTAGAGGTTTTGATGCAGATTTTATTGAGCTAATTAATCAAATTAATTATTATATGAGTCTACGTTATAAACTAGTTGATTCATTGAAAATCTATTTTCTTCGAGAACTACGCGATAGAGGATATTCCATGTGCGATGTTCAAAAATTTTGTCAAGCTCAAACATATGCATTACCTTGGCTGAAAGATTTACCTTGGGGTAACCATCAAGATACTCGATTACATTTCAATGTTTATTATTCTTTTGAAGATTATAAATTTGCAGATGATTGCTTCACCCTTCTTATTGGTTATAATAATCAAGAAAGGTTTAATCAATACCTTGACAATATCAATAAACCAGAATCGATAATTCCTAGAATTGCTCTTATGGGAGGTATCCTTAATCGACTTAATGTGATAAGAGCAGCGAGGGATTGGAATCATGAGGAGAGCCAAGCAGCAGAATTATTGAATGAAAAAATCGGGAATATGAGCTCCTTATCCAATATTTACAAGAGAATTATTGATAAAGTTATTACAAACCGATATTCTATATTCCAACTAGATACGAATACTAGTAACTCGGATTTATTAATTAAATCGGTCATTGGGCACGTTATAGCATTGCACTCGTCTATCGCATCAAATGCGTCGCCATTAGCGTATTTATTACATAATTTGAATCTTTGCAATGGTCTGTTTATTCTCACTTGTCCCTCAGATACAGGTTCAATGTTTCAAGATGCCATTGGGAATTTTACGCGGTAAGTTATTTCGAGATTTTAATTTAATAAATATATTATATATTCATATATATTTTTTTTTTTTAATATTTTAAGTTATAAATGTAAATGTGGTAATATTTATCTTATCGGTGATTGTGGAAAAGCTATGGCTCGAAGCATATGTCCCTACTGTAAAAATTCTATTGGCGGTGCAAATCATGTCTCCGACCCTGGGAATGAGAAATTAGATGCAAATCCAAACACAGCTGAAAAAGGGTATATTGGGGAAAAAGAAAATATGGATATCCGTCACGATATTCGCGAATTAGATCCTACTTCATATAGAATTCTTCATCTTTTTGTTCATTCGATATTTGGAGCTTGGGCACCTTCTGATACTGCAACTTCATTTTTACAAAAGAACAATAATATTCCAATTAATAGTATGGAATATTGCATGGGACATATTAGAAATGATTGGCGGATTCTTTTAAACCTTTTGAATTGTTCTGAAGAAAATTTGGCCCTTTTCTTACATGCAATACTTGACAGAATGTTTCAAAATCCAAAATATTGCAACATGAGTTCGACTGATACTGCATATCGTAAAATTTGGGAAAAACATTTCAAAGAAGTCTATGTTGGGCCTTTAAGCAAAAATATTACAAATACTGCTAATGAATTTCGTGCAAAATTTGTCAAACATCAAGGAAATTCAAATTTAATCGAGGAAGAAATTAATCAAACAATACCAATGGATGAAAGTTTCTTACATGAACGTTTACCAAGGCTTTGGAGATCGATAGGTGAAATGAGCTTTCAAGGTCTTAATGCTTATTATAATTCAGATTTAGAGAAACATGAATCACGTTTCCCTTTTATGGCGATATTCTTTAAGTTTTTTGATAAATTAGAAAAGCTAAAATTCCTTTGGCCGATAGTGAATTTTATTCAAATAACATCATCGCATCTTGAATATCGCTTGAATCGAGAAAAGGCACATGAAAAGACATTTAAGCAAGTTATAAAACACGCGTCTCGTGGTGGAAAATTTAAAGAAAGATTCTTAATGTCAAATTTCAATGAATTTGCTAACGCATGGAATTCGGTTATTGAAGATGTAAATAATTTTCAATGTCACGAGCTTCAAAAGCCAAAACCGAAAATAGATGTGTCTTCTCCTGTTGCGCTTGCTTTAGTTGAGCCAAAGGATTCAGGCGTATATCTTTGCGCAATTTTGGAATATCTGATTGGATTACAAAATAGATTCCTGCAAGAAGTAATAAAGATTCCAATAGGATCTACCAAAGCACTTAAATTTTTGGAAGAGCCTTATTATAATCCGGAAAGTCGTGTTTCATCATCGTCTTCAAGCACATATAATTCCGATTCTACAGAAAGACCTACTAGTTACTACATTCAATCTCTTAGAATTGATCAAATTAAACAAAACAATTTTATAAATTACAAATGGGATGATGATATTCTCCAATATAGTGATCGTAATCTTGAAGTTGGACGTGGTCAGGACATAACTTATGATTTACAAAAAATCGAAATGGAGCTTGCACGTAGATTAATTTTTGAAAAAGTTCAAATAAGCACTTTGAATGACTCACAAGCATACATGGAACGTTTCACATATCAGGGGGAATTATTCCAAGAACATACAAGAATTCTTAATGATATCAAATCTTCAATTAATCAACAAAAAATACCATCTGATAAAATTCCTCTAATTATGGATGTAGTGCCATCTAACGTTTCTTACAGAGATCGTAATAATTATTCATTATCTTATGATAACGCATCTGAACTTCTATCTTCATTAGAAATTTTGCTTTGTTTCGTAAAACGAACATCGGTTGGAAGCGAAGAGACAAAAATTCTTGATTATGTTAATCAATGGATGAAATTATCCGTGTTATTAACAAACAAATTCAGAAATTTATTAAACATCGGATTATGTCTTAAGCATTTAATAGATCTTTATGAATTAATCGAAGAACAAATTGCAAATTCCGTTATAAAATATGTAGATGACAAATTTAAAATTAAACTTACAATTGAAATGAAAGTTGAGATTGATTCGGTAGTAGAATTTGATCGCTCTTCGACAACTAAAGAACGTATACCAGTAGAAGCATTTGCTATTGCATTGAAAAGATTTATGTTAAGAAATTTAAAGAATTTTGATAAGGTTCTAGATCCATTAAGCTGTTACATAACAATTGAAGGACTTAATTTGTGGCCAGACGAAATTTCAGATGAATTGTTAGAAAATTTTCCGGAATCCTTATTGATATGTCATATTTATGCAGCATATGCATATGTTATCTCTAAACTCAAGGTAAGAATCAAATATTTTATATATAATATATAAATAAATTCTAATTCTTTATCTTTATAATAGGAACAATAGCGTGACGTGACATGCAATAGGAAATAATTGACTGATTTTCAAAAATTTTATTGTATATATTTTACTTTTTTTTCATATTTTATATTATTTTATATTCCGCTTTATTTTTAATTATTTTATAACATATATCAAATAAATATTTGTCCATATTTTTTGTTAAATTGTTTTCAAAATGCACGAAAATAATTTCCAGCATGATCGATTCCCGTAAGTTTTTAACTGCTTGTGCATAAGTACGGGACACTAACAAATTTTTTGACCATGTCAGCTTTATAATAATTATAATTTTCTCCAAGATAATTTAAACGGCTTTGTTTTAAAACATATGCCATCTTGTTGTATTTTTACTGCGATTATTAATGATTATATTCAATATTCGGTCGATTTGAAATTACAAATCGAATGGTGCTTGAATGTCAAGTATATAGGCTTTGAATTACAAACTTTTATAATGATAATGAATGTATTGATGGTCACAAAATGCACATACGAAATTTGTACTTATCAATGTTGTATAAATATATTATTTTATTTTATTTGAATGTACTTTTTTATAATACAAATTGTTTATATATTTATTTATTTTCTAAATTGTGGCGATAGTCTCAGTATGACAATTCATTTACAATTAGTCACGAGTACGTCAGTAATTAACTTTATATAACGATTAAAATTAGCCAATTAAATATTAAATCTATGGTTTTCCCATACATTAGAGCCTACGGATTCGTGCATTTGCATAATTTTGCATTTATGCAATTTCATTATTTTTTGCATTTTTCACGTGACCTTATATTGTATTTACCATTTAAGGAATAGATCATCCGCATTTTTTTTTTTTTAATCAAAATGTTAATGGCATCTTAGTTATCGAAGGATTCAAATTTTCTTTTTTAGGAGGGTGATTTGGATTTAAATCATATTTGCAAGAAAAAAAAAAATTCTTCCAAAATAGCTTTAATTTATATATGGTTACCTATTTCAGAGTTGATGTTAAACACAGTTTTTCCAATTATAAAAGAATTTTGAATAATAAATGTTGAACTTTTTATATGATATTAATCAATAAAATTGAAATTTCATCTTTTTTACTATATAAAAAAATTTTTTTTGCATATTTTGCACTTTTAGTAATTTGAAAATGCATAATTTTTAATCGAACCCGTGGGCTCTACCATACCTGTATAAAAACCATACGTTCAATACATAGAAAATCATTACATACGTGTTTGCTATATACCTTAAATTCTGTTACGGTAATGACGTCTCTTAAAAGTTAGAGTAAGAAATTTCTGTGCAAGAATTTGGAATTTTTTTTTTAATTTTATATTTATTTATTATTTTAAAAAAAACTATTTTTTTTTCGTGAGATAAATTCTCAATCAAATTATAAAGTTGTACTACGGATTACTCTTAACTTTGTAAATATTAACTAATAATAGTTAAATTATAGATTGACGTAAATTTCATAAAATAAAGGTTTTGCTTTAACTTTTTGACATGCTATTTATACAAAAAAAAAACCGTTACAATAATTAAATAAAGAAATAAAAGTTTATTGATGCAGTTAAGACGCGCAATACTTATAATTAAAATTTTCTAAATTTGAAATTTATTTTTTTATGCATCATGCCATGTCGCCTCGTAATTATTAATAACTTGCATTATATAATTATCAAAAAAAAAAAAATACAATCATTTCAATAAAAATATAAAAATGAAAAAAATTAGCCTAAAATTAGTTTATAATTTAAAAATATTTATCTTGTCCTTCCGAATCCTGCGGTAAGATCTTCATATCTTGACACAAATATGTATCACCGTATTCTATTATCGTTATACAAGATAATTTTGGGGTTGAAAAAAAAAAAATATATTTTTTTAAAAAAAAAGCTTTATTTTAAAAATTAATAGCGACAATAAAGGTAAAAGTTTATAGAATTGCCAAAAAAGAATATTTTCTCCAACAAAAATAACGGAAATAAAGCTTAGCAAATGAGTATATTTGACGGTTAGATGATTTTTAAAAAAAAAATTATTTCACAAATTCACATTAGAGTCATTTTCGGATGTTATATGGAAGTATCCTCATTAGAAGAAATTGAAGGTAACGGTAATTCCATGTATTATCAACCACATTTAAATATTATAATAATAATTCATTAATTTTATCAAATAAACATAAAATCAGCTTCATGTAATGAAGCTAAACATAAATAATTAACCAATACCACGAAATTATGATGTTAAACTAACCTTTGGGTGATGAAATTAAATATAATAACTATAATACTGCAATTCGTAAATTATTTAATTTGAAATTTGAAATATAGGATTAGTTCCGAGTCATGATGAAGGTAAATACAATAACAAATATATGTATTTAATAAATATTATAATTTAACTATGTTAAATTTTTGTGCAAATTATTAGAAGGATTGAATGGTACAGAATAATCTTTTTATTGTTAGTCAAAAATAATATTTTAATTTTTAATTTAATTTTTATTTATACATAGATTGTAAGCCACTTATCTTTTATACAATTAAATTTTGATTAAGCTTTTTAATAAACAATATCTAATAATTAATAATACCATGGGGAGTAAGTTATCTATAATTTGTTATATTGCAATTTAAACATAACTAATTTATTTTAAAAAAATTTTAATGGTATTTTAGTCAGTAAGTTATTTTTATGAAGTTATATTTAATTATAATTTTATAATAATTTTAACTCTTCAAATTTTTATTTATAGAACGTAAGTTATGTTTATTAATAAAATTAACTATAATTGCTTCAAAAATGCTAATATATTATTAATATTATAGAAAGTTAGTATTTTAATTATATTTTTTATTTTAATGAAATTTAAATTCAACTAAATTTTTTATTTTAATGATTTATAATAGATCGTAAGTTATTTTTATTGATTATCAGCATTTTTACTATAATTTAACTCAACTAAATTTTTTATTTAAAAAAATAATTAATAATTAATAATATAATAGATAGTAAGTTATTTTTATTAATTATCAGTATTTAATTATACTTTTACTGTAATTTAAACTCAACTAAATTTTTTATTTAAAAAAATAATTTAAAATTTTAGATTGTAAGTTATTTTTTTATTAATTATCAGTATTTAGCTTATACTTTTTATTGTAATTTAGACTTAACTAATTTATTTAAAATCAAAAATATTACTAAAGGGAGTAAGTTATTTTCATTGATTATTAATATTCAATTATACTTTTTACTGTAATAAAACTCAACCAAATTTTTATTTAAAAAAATAATTAATATTATAGATGGTAAGTTATTTTTATTGATTATCAGTATTTAATTATATTTTTACTGTAATTTAAACTCAACTAAATTTTTTACTTAAAAAAATAATTAATGATTAATAACATTATAGATCGTAAGTTATTTTAATTGATTATTAGTATTTAATTATACTTTTTACTGTAATTTAAACTCAACTACATTTTTTATTTAAAAAAATAATTTAAATTTTTAGATCGTAAATTATTTTATTGATTGTCAGTATTTAATTATACAATTTACTGTAATTTAAACTCAATTATATTTTTTATTTAAAAAAATAATTTAAATATTTAGATTGTAAGTTATTTTATTAATTGTCAGTATTTAATTATACTTTTTACTGTAATTTAAACTCAACTACATTTTTTATTTAAAATAAAATAGTTTGTAAGTTATTTTTATTGATTATAAGTATTTAATTATACTTTTTACTATAATTTAAACTCAACTAAATTTTTTATTTAAAAAAATAATTAATAATTAATAATATAATAGATAGTAAGTTATTTTTATTAATCATAGTATTTAATTATACTTTTTACTATAATTTAAACTCAACTAAAATTTTTTATTTAAAAATAATTAATAATTAATAATATAATAGATGGTAAGTTATTTTTATTAATTATTAGTATTTAATTATAGTTTTTCTGTAATTGAAATGTAACTAAATCTTTTATTTAAAAATCAAAAAAAATATTAAAGAGAGTAAGTTATTTTTATTGATTATCAGTAATTAATTATACTTTTTACTGTAATTTAAATACAATTACATTTTTTATTTAAAATCAAAAATATTACTAAAGGGAGTAAGTTATTTTTATTAATTATTAGTATTTATTATACTACTGTAATTAAACTCAATTAAATTTTTTACTTAAAAAAATAATTAATGATCATATTATAGATGGTAAGTTATTTTATTAATTATTAGTATTTAATTATATTTTTTACTGTAATTTAAACTCAACTAAAGTTTTTATTTAAATATATAATTAATGATTAATAATATAATAGATGGTAAGTTATTTTATTGATTATCAGTATTTAATTATACTTTTTACTATAATTTAAATTCAACTAAATTTTTTATTTAAAATCAAAAATATTACTAAAGGGAGTAAGTTATTTATATTGATTATCAATATTTAATTATACTTTTTACTGTAATTTAAACTCAACTAAATTTTTTATTTAAAAAAATAATTTAACATTTTAGATTGTAAGTTATTTTTATTGATTATCTGTATTTAATTATGCTTTTTATTGTAATTTAAACTCAACTAGTCTAATTTTTTTATTTAAAAATATATTATTATTAGTTGGTAAATTAATTTTATTTATTATTTGTAATTTTGCTTTAATATATAAAATAATATTTAATTTTAAAAATATTAAAAATATGCAATAAATTTGTAAAAATTTTTAATTATAATTAAATTAGTAAGTTTCATTTTAAAGTTATAATAAAATTGTAATAATAATACTAATAATATAAAATATTTATTTAGAAAAAAAGGAATATGTTCAATTTGTAATACAAAAAATACTGGATATGAGTGGTGTAAAAAATGTTAATCTAAATTGTTTTATCAAAATTTTACTAATTGACTAGTAATAATAAATTTATTAATAAATTTATTAAAGAAATTCAACAGAATGCTAAAAAT